TATGCTTCCAGTTTATTTAATATAATTTAATGATGCACTGTCTTATAATAATATCATAACACTATTTTCACTAGTTTATTTCCTGCTAAGGCTGTGGTACTGTTTTCACTTAAGAATTATTGCGGTTTATCCAAATTACACAGATACAACATACAGGACAATCCAAATATTATAGTACAGGTAAAAAGAGGTCTAAACTTTGCAAGTATCCGAACATAGAGACTGGTGTTTATTACGTCATTTCTTAAATGACATGCTTACTTGACGTAACATTTAATTATTAGTCAAAATTTGCTTATTTGCTGTCTTTCTTGGATTTATATAGGGCCAAATCCGCTCATATAGGTACCATCATACAAACATGTGCCGAGTTGATCCTATTCGCTTCTCGTAGTCAACCGGCCATTCCTGCGTTTGCTATTTACAGTAAATTGGGTTAGCAGTCCGGGGGCAGACCTCAGTCGTATCCGTCCAGCCACCGTGGGGTGTTGTCAACAGCTAGATCAATTCAGAAACCCAATGTATGCAGTTCCAAATCCATTCGTACTCACGTTCATCCTTAATACATTCACTCCTATTTACATATCATGCATTCAATTGGGGGCGATGGAGTATTCGATATTCCTCAATTACACATTACACAAATCATACAACTAAACTAATTGAGGGTCAATGGTGTACTCGATATTCCTCCATCATCCTTTACACATATTATACAACTAATCTAATTGAGGGTCGATGAGGTACTCGATATTCCGCTATCGATCCTCTCACATCACACATTCTCGCTAATAAGCATATTCACGCTAATAAATATATTCACTCTCAACACAAACAATCACTATTATCACTATATACAATAGAACAACCCCGTTTCCTCCAAGAATCGGAACGGAGAACTCAATTACTCGCTGCCGTGCTCAAGCACAATTCGCAAATCTGGTGGTATTCCTGTGCGCTCTCTATATGGAGCCAAGCAAATGCCCTCTTCAATCAGGTACATCGACTAACTTTTCTATGCTGTTGGCTTTGGCACAAGACTATCTTTCTACTTATCTTTTTTTCCCCAAACCTAATTGAATAGAAATAACCATCTTCAATTGCTTTAAACTCTGCTTACGGTTTGATCGTGTAATTATTATTTGATAATGCCAGTAGACATTTTATCCCAGAATACTGAAATAATTAGTCTTTCATTATTCAATTTTTGAACGAACTTGACATGGGTTACCCTGAAGAAGACAGCTGAAACAAGCCTGACGGGAAGGATGCGCTGAGATGTTCAATGTTAATTAAAGTTGGAAAACAACAATTTTGATTTTAGTTGAATATTAATAAAAAAGGAGTAAATAAAGATTTTTTTCTTGGTGGAAAATTTATAAAAAATGCTGAAGAGAACGGTTAAACGGCAAGAGTTCTCCTTAAAATTGATTTCTTTTCTCTACAGCATCTCCGCCTTCGAATATTTCAGGGTTACGGAGATTAATTAATCTTAAATGAACATTTTTAGAGAAATTCCCCTATCTCTTGTCTTGAAATTGGAAGTTGGCCTCCTGGGCGCGGAAAATGATAACGGCTCGCTGAAAAGCCCGAGAGCTTTTTCGCATGTGCAGTTGACGCGGTTTTAATATTTCACTTCTTTTCATCGCCCAGATTGAATTGGAGAGTGAAGGAGATTAAAATCCCCGGGGAAAAATCTCTCCATAGATCTAATATTACGTTTTTCTCTATAATTTTATCTCAAAAAGGGCCAGAAGCGTCATTAAAACTGATCACCGCCGCTGTAGCAGTCATCTGAAAATACCTAAGACAAAAGATAAAATGACATTTCCCCGTTTATTTTGCATGGAAGTCTTACGTTTATCTTTTTATCGAACATTTATCACGGCCAAACACTTTATTACGCTATGACGAACACAGACTGGATAATCTGTTCAGGAGAAATGTTCTTCGTGTGCAGGATGATGAACCTGTAGTTTTATCGTTTACAATCATACTGATGGTTGAGCCCATATTCATTTTGTCATTTATTTTGTATGTTTATACCCTTGTATTGGGTTGTCCGGAAAATAATGCAGGATTTTAAGTTTTCATTAAAAAAAATCTATATAAAATATTCTGTTTACGTTTACAGGATTACTTTTGTTTACCTCTGTAGCATTCCGCTACTTGGAAATAATTCAGTCATCCTTATAATGTCAAAGCGAGAATTTCGTACGATTTTCTTTTACGAGTTTAAACTCGGCCGAAGCGGAGCCCAAACGGCTAGAAACATTAACCAAGTCTGGGGCGAGGGTTGTGTTAATGAGTGCACTGTGCAAAGGTGGTTTAAAAAATTTCGGGAGGGAGATTTCAGCCTTGAAGATGAAGAAGGTCGTGGAAGGCCTTCCTCTCTTAATGATGATGTTCTGCGATCAGTGGTGGAAGAAAACCCCAAAACAACTGTTCGAGAACTTGCAGAGCAACTCAAAGTCAGTAAAACGACCGTCGCTGACCACCTCAAGGCGATTGGAAAAGTGAAAAAACTCGAAAATTGGGTTCCACACTCATTAAACGATCGCCAAAAAAATCAGCGCTTTGATGTTTGTGCATCACTTCTTTGTCGAAACAAAAATGACCCATTTCTGGCCAGAATTGTTACATGTGACGAAAAGTGGATTCTCTACGATAACACTAGACGTTCTGGACAGTGGCTCGACAAAGGAGAAGCTCCAATACATTTTCCAAAGCCCCCAACTCATCAAAAAAAGGTAATGGTTACGGTATGGTGGGCTTCATTTGGTTTAATACACTACAGCTTCTTAAATCCTGGCGAAACCATCAATGCTGAATCATACTGTAACCAAATTAATACCATGCATCAGAAATTGGCAGTAATGAAGCCCTCTTTGGTCAATCGGAAAGGGCCCATTTTGTTGCATGACAACGCTCGACCACATGTGTCACGTGTAACGTCACAAAAATTATTGGAGCTTGGCTATGAAACTTTGCCTCACCCACCCTACTCTCCGGACCTCTCGCCTACTGACTACCATTTTTTTAGACACCTGGACCACTACTTACAACACATAATATTCAAAAATCAAACGGAACTGGAAAATGCATTTATTGACTTTATCAATTCTAAAAATTCTGAATTCTACTCAGACGGAATTAATAAGTTACCAACACGTTGGGAGAAATGTATTGAGAGTATGGGAAATTATTTTGATTAAAGAACATTGCTTTAAAGTAACTAGTTTCTTTTTTTTTGTTTAATACCAAAATCCTGCATTATTTTCCGGACAACCCAATAATATCTAAAGATGGCAAATTGCCAGAACGTGTTTGACTGGAAACCAGCATTAGGTTCATCATAGCCTAGCATTATTGGCATAGTCTCCGATCATACTAGTTATGCTAGTGTCTCTGGTTTGGTTTGTCAGACGTGTTCGTTATTTCAAGTCGGGGATAAAAGCAGGCTGAGAACGAACTGTCTCGACTGACATCTCAACAACATACATAACAAATAGAGAGAGAGAGAGAGAGAGAGAGAGAGAGAGAGAGAGAGAGAGAGAGAGAGAGAGCGATGGGGATGATGAACCTGCAGCTTGGCCGTTTTAGTTCATTTTGGTCTTCTTAGTATCCCGTGTTTTGTTTGACATAAGCGTTTTTCTTCATTAAAAGATTTTTGGTCGGAAATGTGAAGGGTAAAAACAAACTACATGACTAAATAGCAAACTGAAGATGTGAAAATGAAACACGCCTTATAGGCCAAAAACCGCAAGACATGGCTGTCGAGCATTATAATTTGTACAGTAATATAATTCAGTGAGTAGAAACATAATTCACAAAAATGTTTCTATATTAACAAAAGATTGGAGACCGATGATAAAGCTGCAGCTTGTTTGGTCCTTTCCTATCATTTTTGTCTTCCTAGTTTCTTGATTTTGCCTGTCAAAAGCGTCCTTATTTCAGTGAGCATTTGGTCAGGTGAAATAAAAGTCGACTGACTAAATAACACGCAGAGATGGTTGATGCTGAACATCGTCTGACACAATAAACTAGACTAGGCTTACCAAAGCAGCATGGAAACGGACAAACTACCCGAAAGTTAATAACACGAATGGTTCTCAATCTTAATGGTTAGTCGGTGTATTAAACAGGTAGAGAATAAACTGACCCGACTGACTAAATAAGTCACACTTACAGATCAATCACCGATGATATCCGTCTGGTAGGATGGTCGTTTCCGATCAACTTGGTCGTCGTAGTCTCATTGGTTTACCAGTTAAATATGCCTTACTTTTAGAGAGCTTTTATTGGTTGGGACAATAAAGTAGCAATAAACGAAGGTAATATTAAACGGAGATGTAAGTAGTGTAATAAAAAACTGACATGACTAAATAACACACTGAAGATGGCGAGAGGTCGAACGCCTCTGACAGGCCAAAAACAGCAAGACCAGGCTAAACATGGTAAAGGGTCCCAGGGATACCAAGAATCGTATGGTTCTTGGTCTTTCATTTGCCGTACAATCCGTCATCTTCATACCATGGTCGGGAATATAAGCAAGCTGAGAACAAACTGATACTAGCGAATAAATTTCAGTAACCGAAAATTAATCACACAAGTTATATATTTTTTATCCTTTTGCCTTAATTTTATGGTAAATCTTGGTTATTTCCCTACTTTATTAACAAAACAGTAATAACAAATAAATTGTGAGATATCTAGAAATCTGCGGGGTGTTGAACCTGCAGATTAGTCGTTTCAAATAATTTTGGTCTGCCAAGTTTCGCCGGTTTTCTCTGTCAGATGCATTCTTCTTTTATGAGGTTTTATTCGATAAAATAGCACAGTAAAGATGGCGTGATCCAAAATCGTGTCTGACAGGCTAAAAACAGGGAGCGAAGGCCGACCTGAACGATCGAAAACGACCAAACTTAATGAACACTTATCTTTAAACTTAGTTAAGTTTTAAGTCAGCACAAATTGTTAATATATATTTTTTCTTTCAGGAAAACAGTTAAACAGAGCAAACGTCAGTTGTTGATAACCTTCTACAAATTCCTAACTGGTAACGACCTTCATTATTACAGTACATTGTACTTATATTTTGTTTAAAACATATTTTATTATCAGAAAAGAATAATATCCATTTTTTGGTTTATTAACAAAATATGAATAATTAAACATAAAATAATGTAACCAGAAGTTTAATCACCTTAAAAGATTGCTAAATTATAATTAATTGCTAAATTATAATTAATTGCTAAATTATAATTAATTGCTAAATTCAGTATAAGATTTATGTTGACATTTTCGTAAGTAATGTGTTTTTTATAATTAATCAATGGTTTTTTTTAAAAATGAAGTATGTAATCAACAGGCGTCGAAGGATATTACATTAAACACATTTGCATAGGCAAAAAATAGTTTAGTAAAAAACTACTAATAAGTACTATGATTTTAGAGAAAATTTATCTTGTTCCCGATAACACTTTTTCACTATTTCCGCACGAAATGACTTACCAATTAAGGATTAACGTTATGTAATTAATGATAATATTAATGTAAAATCTTGGCTTTTCGTTTGTAAATAAATAATTCCATTCACAAAATATTCGAAATATATGAAGAAAATAGGCCGGAAATTTGTCAGTAGTGATAGTGCTATTGGAAGAAAGCTACCCCTACCCGGGAAAAATACCACTTTTGTGGATTCCATAGTTGAATTCGTAATACCGAACACGCTTAACGTTTTGAAAATAATGTCTAGTTTTCGATGTGACCAACAGATGATAACGATTGATAATGAGACGATGAATCTCTTAAAGGATCAATAATTTTGAGAAAATTGCAATTTTCAAAATCTTATTTTACTTACATCATGAGACCTACATTTGTATCAAATATCACATTTCTATTTATACAGGAAGTATAAACAGAATTACAATTTTGATGCTGAGACGACCCCTATCCTTCCCTAAAGTGACATTAATTTTAGGCAAATTGCAATTTTCACCAGTGCCTTATAATTTTGACGGTGAGACTATACTCTCCTCCACTAAAGCGGTACTAATTTTTAGCAAATTGCATGTTTAGATTTTTCCCCTATTTGTTGTATAAAACCTACCTTTTAACGAATTTCATTTTTCTAGCTATTCGGGAAGTATCGTACAATTTTGTTGATCAGGGAGTCTGTTATTAACAAAACTGCAAATTTTGAAATTATCCCCTTTCGAAAATGCTTAATATTAATGGCTCTGAATTGAGGTGTTGAATCGTTCTTTAGGACAAATATTTGTAAATCTGCTTTTTTTCTTCTAATGTGTCTCATTAGTACTTTTATCAACGATCCAACAGGCTTCCTCGAAAGAAAAATATGATCGTATGATGTTCGATAGTAAAAGAGGAGAAGTTTTCAAAGCACGGTCGGAATCGCTATTGCCCCCAGGGAAAATCAGAGAAAAGATTTTCGGCTCCTTCGTCGTCCCTATGTATGAAAAATAAACAAGCATTTATATTTCAAAGAAATTCTAACCGCTTTCCCTACTTTCTCCACCCTTTCGTAACAACATTAAAGGGGGGCTTGGATGAGCCAAATTTAAAAATTATGGTGAAAAAACATCTTTACCATCTTTTTTATTCCATTCCAAATATCAATGTTTTACCATAAATATATTTGGTTAATGTTTTTAAATTTATTAGATCCAAATCTTTTATTACATTTAATTAAAGTTCGACTTAATTTAGATATTAGAAAGTATCTAATGTAGCTAATATTCTTGTGAGATTTCTTGAGGCTTGACTATTGTAATTGTGGTTTGGTCGTTTTCGATCATTCCTATCTGCCTAGTACGGCGGTTTTGGTATTTTGCCTTCTTCAGAAGTCGATCGGGGATATAAGCTGGACGAGAAGACAACTAGCAGGATTTAAATGGGGAAAGATCAAGAACCAGGCTGTTCATATAGCTTGGTCGTTTCCAATCATTCCGGTCTGCAAAACCTCGCTAGTTTGGTCCGTCTGTCGTTCGGCGTTTAACCATTTTAATGAGCTTTCATTGGGCACGAATATAAAGTGAAAACAAACTGATACGACCAAATAACACACTGAAGAAGGTGAACAAAAAACAGCAAGACTGGTCAGGCCAGGCGATAAGAACCGACCAAACTCCACCAACCGGTACCACGAATGGTTCTTGGGTCTTTCAGATGGCCGGTTGGGGATATAAGCAGGGTGAGAACAAATTAACGCGACTTATTAAATAATTAACACTTCAATCCCAATCATTGAAAATAAATTTTAGAATCGGTCTACCTTACATTTATGTTTTATATCTTTGTTACTTTTATGTTTATATCTTCGCCTAGATATACCATCTATTTCACTAAATAAATAAGTAACACTCACAGTCCAGTCACTGAAGATTTCCGTTTTGTAGGATGGTCGTTTCAGTCATTTTGATCTTCCTAGCCTTACTGGTTTGCAAGTTAGATATGCTTTACTTCTAGTGAGCATTTATTGGTTGGGACTGTAAAGTGGCAATAAACGAAGATATTGTTAGTCGGATATGTAATAGAGTAAGAAAAAACTGATACCATTAATAAAACACGGAAGATGGCGACAGGCAAAAAAAAAGTAGTAGTAGTAGTAGGAGTAAGAATGGTTCTTGGCCTTTAAGAGCGTTAGGCATTTTTCACGTATAGTGGTTGCTCAGAGATATAACCAGGATGAGAACAAACTGACAGGAGACTGTGAGATCTCGTCTTGGGGTCTGCAGGGTGATGAACTGATAGCTTGCTTGTTTTAGATCATTTCGGGCTTCTGCGTTTCGCTGGTCTTGCGTAGCATACGCGTTCTTCCTTTATTGAGGTGATTTGTTCGGAGATTTAAGCAGGGTAAGAAAAACTGACATAACTAAATAACAAACGGAAGATGGCGAGATGCTGAAACACTTCTGATAGGAAAAAAACAGCAAGACTTGGGGCCAAGAACAGTTGGCTCTTGGACTTTCAGTTGCACAGTATATCTTCTTCATTCCATGGTCGGTAATGTAAGCAGGCTGAAAACAAACTGAAACGAGTGATTACATTTCACTCATCCCAACATTAACCACTGAAGTTATATATTTTTTTGGCCCTTTTGCCTTAATTTTAATCTTGACTATTTTTCTACGTTATTAACAAAACAGTTTTTTTTATTTTTTTTTTATTACATTTATTTGGTATTTACAACTACAAGTGATGTATTAAGTAAATATGTTCGTATATGTTGAATTATCATTTGAGGCTCTTGTAGGAGAAGTTGCCCTTTCACACTGATATCTTGTTCAGTCTTCTCACAATGAGAAGGTCTCGGGGCCACTTTCGCTTCAATGTTGGAAGTGATAAATTTCGTACGAATAGATTACTGTGTGTGTTCAGTGATTGATGAAATTTTTTATATCGGGTTTTGATGAGTTCATGTACAAACGGGATGTGTAGGTCTTTATGGATAGTGTAATTTGAAACGTAAAAAGGAGCATTTATAATTTGACGGAGAATTTTATATTGGATTGTTTGGAGACGCTGGGAATTGGAATCCTTGGTTGAGCCCCACACTTCACAACCGTACACCCAGAGAGGTCTTATCATTGTCTTGTAAATTAAAAGTTTATTTTCAAGGTCTAATTTTGATCGTGAGTCGAGTAGTCTGTTTAACAATTTATAACGTCGGTTTGTTTGCTGTCTTTTCAGTCTTGTATGGGGATTCCAAGTCAGTCGTTTATCCATGAAAAGTCCAAGATAACGCACAAGGTCAGTAGTAGGCAATGGAATTCCATTTATACTCACCGCAGAAGGTAAAATTGATCTGTGTGCTTTTTGTTAGGTTTACCTTTATTCTCCACTTTGTGAACCATATTGTTAATTCATTCAGGTTTGATCTAAGTGTTTAGTGTTAATTGAGGGGTCCGAATTGCATGTAAGAATCGCTGTATCATCAGTGAATGTGTGTGTCGAAATGTTAACATGTGTAGGAATATCTGCAGTATATGTAAAATAGTAAAGGGCCAAGTATGCTTCCCTGAGGAACGCCCTCCCTTATGCGTATATAAAGTGAGAATTCAGTTCCCTGACGAACTCGACAAAATCGATCCGTCAGATAAGATCTCAGTATAAGATAGTACGTATGAGGGAGGATGTTTCTCGGTTTCCAAAGCAAGCCCGAGTGCCAGACTCGATCGAAGGCCTGTTCTAAATCAAGAAAGACACCCAGGCAATGCTGTTTTTGTTCGAGGGAAGAGGCTATATTGCCAACAACACGTTGTAATTGTTGAGTTGTCGAGTGAAATGTGCGGAACCCAAACTGATGATCTGGAATAATATTAGAATTTTCAATTATTGGCAGTAATCGTCGGAGAAGTAGTTCTTCTAGTATTTTGGCAAGGATAGAAAGGAGACCAATGCGTCGATAGGAATTTGGAAGATCTGAAGGTTTATTTGGCTTATGAATCATTTTAATTATAGAGAACTTCCATTGCAATGGAAAATATGTGGTCCTGAGTACAGCGTTGTAGAAGAATAGTAAGCCTCTATGGGGCAAATTTTGTAATATTTGTTTTGTAATTAGATCATAACCTGGAGCTTTTCGTGAAGGTAGTTGTTTAATAGTGTGTTGTATGTCTGATGGAGTAAATGCTTTAGGAGGATAAGAGAGTTGCAAGGGGACATTCAAGTCGTGTTCAATGTTAAGCTGATGGTCATGATCAAGTATGTCATGGTGTGCAGTAAAAATTGTGGAAAGATGCTCTATGGAATTAAGAGACATTTTGAAGTCTGCGAGGTGATTAACCTGTCCGCCAAGACAAGGGTGGTAGGAACCGACAAAACTACACGAACCGTAATACCACGAATGGTCTTTCAGACTGGTTAGGCATTTCTTACCTTAATAGTGGTAGTTCGGAGTTATAAGCAGAGAGAGAACAAATTGACACGACAGAAAAAATAACTTATAAACAAACCGCTAATGATGTCGAAATGCACCAAATGGCTGCACTTATAAATGCAAGACGGAAAGCCTGTTATAGTTTTCTC